ACTTGAGTATGTATGTATGTATGTCTGACTGTCTTGGTGTGTTGGTGGGCGAACGAACAGACAGACATACATACAGACAGGCAATGTACCAGTTTCAGATTAATCATGTCTTGCATCAAGCCACGGGAGCTAGGAGTAACTGAAGCAGACCCATGGGATGGGTCTCGTTTTCATAGTCCAAACCAAGCCAATCGACTAAGCCTAGACCTTGATCAGCCTTTATATGGCCCTTCAACCGCCTGTACCAATTTAGGGGATGCAGTGCTTAGGCTATAAATGCCCAACAGAATTTGGTATTTTGTAGACTCCTCCCAGCCTCGAGCAAGTTAAAAACTGTTCTTGGGCCTAGGGCAAGCTTTTGTGCACTCTTGTCTGACCTCCCCGATCGGAGGTTGTAAGGAGACGTCGGTTGGGGACGAGAACTTGCAGCCTTCAAAGCGAATGATGAAAATACTTAACAGGATTGCCTCTAATCCCCGGAGTTTGCCAAAGAGCCTTAATTAGACATTCAGAACAGCCTCGCCAACTGCTCGTGCCCAACTGACTGTATTCACACACACGCATACATGCATGCACACGCGACTGCGGGTGAATTCACGCACGATGGACAAGCAGACGTGTGGGGTAAAAATAGGAATTGAATCTCTGACACAGCACGTGCCGTTTGACAGCTTCAATTGCATACCATTTGCACCGGCCACTTGTATGGAGGTCGGGTAGACGACAAGACGAGCTGGTGGCTTAGCGCTTAGTTCCTCTGTCATCGTGAAACTCAAGCCCTCATTCGCATGTTTTAAGAGCATTGCAAAGGATAGCTTTTCAACCAAACTTACTTGTCCACCATTTCTGTATTGTGCGTTTAATATGTCAATTATTTTGCTCTTAGGGCAGCTCCGTATGAATGCGATATGGGAGAGACTGAAGTTTACCGTATCAGCTATATTAATAATCTTTTCTCTGTGTTGCCATATGTCCCTTTCATTTTTTCACATCATACCCACATCGCATTACAGCACAATACACAACAAAGAACACATCACACGATATTACACCACACCATGCCACATCACAACACAACACAAGACAACACGACACATTTCAGCACAACGCATCAAATCACATTACATTAAAATACATCATATCCCATCACATTGCTAGACATTAAAACACATCACGATATAACACAGCACAACACAACGCATCACATTTCATCGAATTGTTCACCTCACCACTTCACTTTACTTCACTTTGTTTCATCCTCGTAAGTGCACACACTCGTAGACTTTAAATGGACACTAAGCAAGTAGTATTATATGCTAGATCTACTATTATTTTTATACTCTCTCTCCGTTTTCGACCTGTATCCCCAGGATAGGTCCACTTTACGTGGTCAAGAGGTGGATCCTGTTATTTAACCTTTTCGCCAATTTGTATACACAATACGCATCTGTCAGGTCAACTCGCTTCGTGTCTGACTACCAGGCTTGGAGGTATCCTCGGAAAGCATGGCGCATAAAAGGTGAAAGAGCGTTGTTCATGCTGCCTTGACTTTACGGAATAGGGGGTTCTCGTGATACCGACACCCTCTTCAGACGACGCGACAAGCACGCAAATATTTGAACTCATCCGAAGATCGTAACTTGCATTCATCTCGACTATGAAAACTGATCTGGCAATTCTCGTCAAAGAAATGAGGGGAATCATGTGACTTGATCTTTCATTTCGCAGGAAAAGTTCGTTGAAGGGAATTTGTGTAATGGTTTCAGCGTAGACTGAAGTAGTTTAACCTTCTTTTCGCAACTTGGTCATATTGGCAGGAAGACCTTGAGGAAATCACCTTGTCCGGAGTTCATAGTATGCTTGATAATTCCCCGAGTCGGACCGTGGATATGGTACGTAATAAATACGAAGAAAAGTTGGGTTTCGAGGAATCTCTTGTT